TCTCTCTCTTTCTCCTCTTCTCTCTCTTCTCTCTTCTTTCTTCATCCCTTCTCTCTCTCTCTCTCTCCCTCCCCCCCCCCCCTCCCCTCCCCCCCCACCCCCCCCACCCCCCCCCCCCCTGAGGATAAAGTCAGTCTTACATGTTTTATAAGCCAATATTCAACGGTTGAACATGTCCAGCACGTTCTCGGTACGAGAATAGAAACCCGAGGAGAAAATGAGACGAAGAGGAGAGAGAGAGAGAGAGGGAGGAGAGAGAGAAGAGATGGCAGAGAGAGAAAGAGAGGAGCGATGAGAGAGAGGAGAGAGAGAGAAGAGAGAGAAATGAGGGGAGAAGAATGAGAGAGGGAGAGAGAGAGACTTGTGTATTCAACGGAATTGAACATTTCGAATTGCTTAGCCCACCGTTTCCCGTCACAACGAATGTAGAACTGAGAGCAAGAGAGAGAGAGAGAGAGAGAGAGAAAGAGAGAGAGATATGAGGAGAGGGAGAGAGAGAGACTTTGTGATAATGACGATAGTGTTCGAGAGGAGAGAGATCGCAGGAGAGATCGAGAAGGAGAATGAGACAGAGAGAGAGAGAAGAAGCAGATATCTCATTGGATGAGAGAGATGGAGAAGAGAGGAAGAGGGAGAGAGAGGAGAGAGACGAGAGAGAGAGAGGAGAGAGAGGAGAGACTTGTGTATAATGAACAAGTAGAGAATTGAGAGATAGTGTTCTGCTAACGGATTAGAACGAGAGAGAGAGATAGAAGCGAGAGAGAAGAGATGAGAAGACAGAGAAGAGAATGAGACGAATGAGAGAGAGAGAGACGAGAGAAGAGAGAGAGAGAGAACAGAGAGAGACGAGAGAGACAGAGAGAGAGAGAGCTAGTGACAGAGAGAGAGAGAAAGAGAGAGAGAGCGAGAGAGAGAGAGAGATAGAGACTTGTGTATAATTCTGGGATAATTCTGAATTCCTCTGTTTGAGTTTCTTGATTAGAAGTCTGTGTTTAATTACCAGCTTCTGTTGGAGGAATGAGTTGTTTGTTTATTTGTTGTTTTAATTACCAATACGCTAGGTTCTGTGGATTAATTGTGATATTGGGTGATGGGTAATTAATGAAGGTTTCGTCTGTAAACGTATTTCACGAAAAAAAGTGAAAAGAGAAAGTATAATAAAGAACCAAAAAAGACACTTAGAAATTCCTTTTCCTAAAAAAAAAAAAAGTTTGAAAATAAATTCTAGCGAAAAAAAATCAAATCTAGCGATATATTTATACTCAGAGAAGGGAGACTTTCGAAACGAGAAAATTTGAAAAAAATGATACTTAAAGAAATTGAAATACGAGTACGAACAATTGGCTTTTTCGAAATGAAAGCGTTCGCTAAGATATGCTACACTTCAGAGCATGTTATACCTTCCCCTTTACACGCTCACGCTCTAGCATTTCGAGAACATATGTGATCGGTAAAAAAAAAAAAAAAAAAAAAAAAAAAAAAAATACTGAATAAAAGTTGATGATTTGAATATTCTTTTTTATAGTTTTTTTTTTTTTGGGGTGAGGGATGGGCTCATATGGGCAAAGGGCAACAGACGTGGCTTCAGAAATGAGGAGAGTGTGAGGGAATTTGTAAAGTTGGGGTCAGTGTGAGGAGGTCGGTGTGGTAAGGGAAGTGTGAGGATGTTTGTGTGAGGACATTGCTATGAGGAGAGCAGTGTACGGAGGGTTATTGCGAGGTGATCGTTATGAGGTATGAGGTGCAATAAAGTGCATCTAAAATTGGGCAGTGTGTATGAGGTATGAGGCGCAATATAATGAATCTAAAATCGGGCAGTGTGAGGGAATCAAAAATGCAGAATCAGCGCCAGTGAGTGAGAGTATGAGATCAGTGTGAGGAAATCAGCGTGAGGAAGCCACTCTGAAGCCACTCTGAAGAAGCCAGTATGAGGAGATCGCGAAGATGAAGTCATGAAGTCACTATGAGGAAGTCAAAGTACGGAGACCAGTCTGGGAAGGCCAGTATGAGGGAAAGTAGAAGGAGGAAGGTCAGTATGAGGGGAATTAGAACGAGGAGCCACTTGCTGACGGCGCACTGGCGATCCTGACCTCCCCTCCGCCTTGAAATCTCGTTTTGGGAGGAACGGCTTTCGTGTGACCTTTGCTGACCCGAGAATATTGAGTTATGACTTCTTTTCTCTTCGTTGCGTTATTTTTTTATTTTTTTTTAGTTTTCTTGTTTCTTTCGTCTATGAGTATTATTTACGCTCAGACGGCCGATAAGAGCGTAGTCGGTGAGCAAACGAATGAAAAAGAGATAAACGAACGGGTGATAAAAGCGTAGTCGCCGAGAAAAACGAATGAAAAGGACGAAAGGAAGCGATGACCTCCAACGCAGCGAAAGAACGCGAGGCCGGGGACAGGCGCGTGACCTCTCTCCGAACTACCATATGCCGGCTCCTCCCAGGTCCCGAGCGGCCTCCGATCCCCCGAGCTTATGAGGCGCTGGTGACACTTACCTTCGTTGAGCAGAGGCTGTGCCATGACAACGCTCAGGAGAAGGGTGAGAGCCAGGAGCATCACCACCACCTTGATTCCCATGGTGCCGCTGCTGTTCTGGTGCCGCGAGAGAGTGGAGGGGCGAAGCGCGGAGGCTGAGGTGCAGCTGGAGCGAGCGAGGAGCGAGGGAGGCGCGTGTGCTGACGCGGTGCGGGCCGAGGGCTGTGTGGCTCCGTGGTGCGAGTTGACGTCCGCTCAACTCTGTGTGTTTGGGACCGCGCCCCCGCATCCCCGCGCGCCTGCCAGGGGCACGATAACACGGGGGGATCTCCACGGCGATTTAATTAATAGATTGGATCCGGGGACATACGTCGATTTGGAAATATTTGGAGGATGAAGGGTTCTCTGCGGTTCTCGGCAGGAGACTCGCTGTGCGAACCGCGAGGTCCTAGAACCACAACAATGGGCCTCTTCTTACCATCTGTTGAGTGTTGATCTGTCGTGACGTCACGCATTTGTGTCCAATCATGTTTCTACCGTCGCTTAATAGCCAATCATCACTCTTAGCCATTTTTCATTCCTGGATGTAAGTACCTTTACATTACAAAAACACAGCATTACCATATTTGGCACTTACCACTCAAGAAGGAAGAATCACTTATGAGAAACAGGAAAAACACCATTATCTAACACTAAGAAGTTGCGATTGACTGAACGACCTGCTACGACCTAGGGGTGTACACTCAAATCTCCAGCTTACTCAGAGGAAATGAATGACAGTATTTGAGTCTGTCAAAGGGTGTAAGACGGGTTTTATATCATTTTTATTGAGAGTACTGTAGAGGAAGCAGGTGCTGCTGGAAATGATTCCTATCTGCGTTATATTTCATACAGAATGTGTCTCTGAAAATTATGAAACGCATGTGTAAGTGTGTGTGTGTGTGTGTGTGTGTATGTATGTGTGTGTGTTTGTGTATGTGTGTGTTTGTGTATGTGTGTTTTGTGTATGTGTGTGTGTTTGTGTATATGTATGTGTGTATGTTTTAATGTGTGTATATGTATGTGTGTTTTAAGTGTGTGTATATGTATGTGTGTCTGTGTAATTAAGTATATGTATGCGTGCTTGTGTATAGTGTATGTGTCTGTATGCGTGTGTGTGGTGTTTAAGTATGTGTATGCACGCTTATGCATCGTATGTGTGTTTGTGCGTGTGGTATCTAAGTATTTCTATGTTTGTCTGTGTATGTGTGTGTGTAATACTTTAATATTTGACTGCGTGTCTTTGTTCGTGCACATCCCTGTGTGTAGGTGTAGGTGTTTCGCAATAGGAAATCCATGGTACATTTAAAAGATATTTTCATCTTTATAACAATTACATCACACACTTTTTTCCTTTTCTCGGTGAAGGGAGAGAAAAAAACTGTACCTTTATTATGTCAACTGTGAAAAAAAAAAAAAAAAAAAAAAAAAAAAAAAAAAAAAAAATATATATATATATATATATTAATATATATATATATATATATATATATATATATACATCCTCGTATTTTTCTAAAAGTTCCAACACTGTTTTGATAGAATGATATTTTTATCTCTAGGACCAATCTGGTAGGCAGGCGAAGACGAAAAAAATACCACTGCCGACTTTCTTTATTTTTTTACTAAGTGTTTTTTATCTTTATTATATTTATAAGTATCATCTTTTATGTTTTTTTTCATTACCATCATGATTCTTTTTATCATTTTCATTGTCATCATTTTTACTACTTATACAGGTATTATCCTCCTTAACATTATTATTATCACTTTTTATTGTTATTAATATACCAATGTCATCATTATCATTATCCTCATTATTTATCATCATTATTATTTTTAATATTATTATCATTATTATTATCATCATTTATTGTTATTGCTACTATTATTGTAGTTGTTATTATTATCATCATTATTATTGTTATTATTGTTATCATATTATTGTTATCATTATTATTATCATTATTATTTCATTATTATCATTATTATTGTTGTTATCATTATTATTATCATCATTATCATTATTATCATTGTTGTTGTTGTTGTTCTCGTTCTTGTTGTTATTAATATCTTTTATTATTATTGTTATCATTATTATCATCATAACCATTATAACTCTTATCATCATTATCATCATTACTATCATTATTATAGATACTGCTGATATTGTTATCATCATAATTATTATTATAACCGTTATCATCATCATTAATGTTGCTGTTGTTCGTATTACTATTGTTATTGTTATCATTATCATCTTCATTGTCACTATTATTATCAACACTATTAACATTTTTTATAGCTATCATCATCTTTAATTATCATTTATATTGTAATTTTATCATAATCTTATAATTAGTTTACTGTGGTTGTTATTGTTATTTTCATGTTATTATTATCATTACCCAACATTACTATTATCACTATTATTATCTTCATTATCATTGCTATGATTAAGATGATGACTATCTTCAAAACCATTATTTACTTTATCATTATTATTATCACTACTATTATCATCATTATCAGCTTATTGTTATTAGTAGTAATATTTATCATCGCTATCATCATTCTCATTATTTTTTCTTCATTATTTCATTGCCATTTGTTATTATTACCATCATTATTATTACTACTATCATTATTATTTTATCATTACTATTATTGTTGTTATTATTATCATCATTATTATTATTTATTTATTAGTAGTAGTATAGTAGTATTCATTATTATTATTATCATTATTATTATCATTATCATTCATTGTCATTATTATTATTATCATGTTATTACTATTCCTATTATCATTATTTTTGTTATTATTATTATTATTATTATTATTATTATTATTTCATTTATTATTAATTATTATTATTATCATTATTATTATTTATATTATTATTATATTATCATTACTATTATCATCATCATATCATCATCATCATCATCATTTGTTATTATTAGTATCATCATTATTGTTGTTATTATTATTATTACTATTATTATTATAATCATTATTATTATTCATTATTATTATTATCATTTATATTATTATTATTATATTATATTATATTATTATTCATTATTATTATTATTATTATTATTATTATTATTATTATTATTATTATTATTATTATTATCATTGTTATCATCATCATTATTATTATTATATTATTATTATTAATTTATTATATTATTATTATATTATTATTATTATTGTATCATCATTATCATCATATCAATAACATCCTTATTATTATCATTATCTTTGTCTTATTTATTTCTATCATTATCATTATTATTATTATCTTCATCTTTATTATTTCTATCATCATTATTCAGTATCATTATTCATCATCATTCATTTTTCATCATCATTTTCATCATTATCACCATCATCACATTCATTATCATATTCATTATCATGATTATCACTGTCATTTTATCATCATTGTTAGTGTTCCCATCACCATTATTATTATTTTATTACTATTATTATCATTATCATTACTGTAGTCATTGCTGTATTTGATAATCATCGTTATTATCATTATTCATTTTTCACTATCATTTATCATCATCATTTCTTAATTATTTTAGTACTGTCATTAAGATCATTTTCAATCATATATTTATATTCATTATTAGTATCACCATCATCATCATAATCATAATGATCACCACAATCAATTCAAAATTAAACAAAGTACAAATCAAAAAGTGCCTGCAAATGGACTGCCTTTTCCACCGATTCTGCCACTTTCATGTTTTCTCCTCCTTTCAAAAACCGATTTCTCTCCGTCTGCAATCTGATATCAACCAATTGCAGGTTCTCAACTTTCAAAGCGATTTTCATTCTCTTTCGGCATACAACCCGGGCCATGGATTGTTTGTTTTTGACGTGTGTTATTACTTATAGAGTATGGCTTTTATTGTGCTATTGAAAGCTGGGTTGCAGAGATGATTAAATGTCTGATAGGAATATGGGAGTGATTTTCGTAGGTCGATTGCAAGCTCGCAATATCTATGTCTTTATCTCCAGTGATATGCTAATTATTTCGGATTATCCGCTCAGTGACCCGATCCAAGACGCTGATGAAATAATCAGAGATTGGCTGTTCTCAGAAAGGTATGTCCGGTGTCTAAATTCCATCAGGGGTTTAGACCGTGTTATGCGCCCGGTCGATGATAAAGTCTACGGTGTCGCTACCCACGTTTCACTTACTCGCGTCCTTGGGGGTTCGGGGAAGGGCAGCTGTGCACAGGGAGGTATTATACATCGGCGAATCGTGTGTTATCGAAGGATGTTATTTATGTTATCTTAAGCCATGTACGAATTCTAGGAATATTGTCTATTTTTTTTTTAGTTATTTGGTTATTTGGAAAAGGGTGGTTGTATGCGTGCGTGCTTTATATACCTCAGCATATATGTTTATGGATGCAGTTCGTGTTGTTTATGGTAATAAGTTCATGCAATAATGTTCGGTTTTTACAAATGAATGAACTGACATTCGCCAGTACAAATGTATTCAGATATGCAGTATTCATACAGTATACGTGCAAGCCTTTATGTGTTTGCGAAAATTAAAGGATAAAAGAAATCTGTTTGAAAATGAAAAATATTAATATACCACAAAACAAAAGAAGAAATAAAAATTGCATATAAGCATCAAACAAAAAAAAAACTTTATCATTTATTATTCTTATTATCATTCTTATTCTTATTATTATTATAATTGTTATTATCATTATCATTATTGTTATCATTATTACTGTTATTCTCATTATTATTAGCATCTTCATCATTATCATTATTAGATAATAAAACAATTGTAAAACAACTCTTCTTAACAAGCCAAACAAACGAAACCAAACGAGATTTCAATTCCATTTCATTTTCGAATGCATCCCCACGCCTCTCGCCAAAAAAAAAAAAAAAAAAAAAGCAAAAAAAAAAAACAATCCCAGCGCCACGGCCTCTAGACATACCACGCCGGCGCCTCGACCGTGAATAAGGCCGCAGCACCTCGTAACTCACGTGGTAATTGCCGCAATAGTCCCCGCGAGGCTGAGCACGACGTATGAGGAGCACGAGAGGTTAGAGGAAGGGGAATCTCCGCCGGACCGCCCCGACGAAGGCACGAGAGGAGACGAGGCGGGGATGTGGCCACGTTGGCGAGGAATGGCAATTAGGGCTCGGCG